CCCTAGTAGCGATCGAAGTGTCTGACGAACCAATAGTTTATCTCAGTGGAATTTATCATTAGCTTAACAGCTGGACCAGGGAACGCATCTACGTTTGAAGAATTATACAATCTTTCAGTCAGACGGACAGAAGACATGACCATCTGAACTTACGGTCAGGCAGGTGGCTAATTACAACGGGTTAGAGTTGAGACGTAGCGGGCATTCTCAGACCATTTAAGTCCAGGGTTCAAACAGGATAGCAGGTCCAGTTGTCTAAGCAGGTGAATTTCGCACATAAATGTGATACACAGAAGCTACCTAGTGATGTTATTGTTACAGCATACTTGTAATCACAAAGGCGGAACCTGGGCAATGAAACCAACAGGGTAGAACATTTACGGATGCTTGTGATCTGATTGACAGGAGGACAGAAATAGTCAAATGTTTGAGAGGGCGGAGCTAAAAGACTCCTAAGTCTAGAGACAGAACGGGCAAATGACAGGCTGCAATGGTAAGGCAGTGAGCACATTCTATTATACTTTCATACTGTGCCAAAAGAGAAAATCAACCAACCAATAATCGACTTCCTAACAATAATCACGTAATGAGGCTCTGAAATATCCCTACTTGTGTTCCCAACTAGTGACAAGTCACACACAAGACATTACCCTTGTGGGTTCTAAGGCCACATGTTTGAGGGGAAAAAAGAATAATAGATCCACTGCCATATTGTAAAAGGCGACTAATTAGGGCTGCTGAAATCGTATGTGTTGGGGCCAAAGGCGTAATCGCAATCTAGCTGTTAACCACAAGACCGAACGAAAGGCACAGATATCGCAGAGTAGTTGTAAATGTGGCTTGACAGGGGAAATTCGTAAATGAAGGGGAGTGGATGCTCCAGTAAAAATGTCTATTCTATCAACTTGAAACAGTGACAGATGCAAGAAGAATATCAACACTGGTTGTGGACTTCAAAAATACAAGTTATAACTAGTAACTTAGCAGTCATTTTAAGTTAATTACTAAAGAAGCTCACAAAATGCGGTTATGATGGCTGAAGTTCATTTTCAGATTTGGGGGTGTCTCAGGTAAAAATATCTTCAACAGAAAATTATTTGATTTATCTCCAACAGAAAATGTTATGAGCTCTAAATAATGACACATGCATGAAAAAATGCTACAATGGTTGTGGATAAAAAAAAAAAAAATTTACATAATGATACTACTTTACAAAGCAAATTATTTTAATTACTCAAAATAGGGTCAGGAAATGTGATGATGATATGTGTGAATGGCATACCAGATGAACGAGAGAAAAAAACACACACCTTTAAAATCAAATTAGATTATTAAATAAATTTATAGGTGAATATTTCAGTTGTTTTTAGAAAGGAAATCTGTACTTCCTGCAACTGAATAGCAAGCATGTCAAGATTGATTCATTATCAAGTAGAAGTGGGTAAAACATCTGTCTGGCACAGACTTGTTGGATGTGAAGAACACTTTCTTCAACTCATTCCTTGTGAAATTTCCCAGATTTATTCAAAAAAAGATAAACACAGAATAAATAAAAAAATAAAATAAAAACACCTCAAATTGTGGTCATCTGGCTTATTTAAAAGATATTTACGAACTTACCTTGAAATCAAATCTCTGCTTGCTGCCAAAAAAAAAAAAGATTTACCGTTTTGTGGCAAAATCATGTTATCATGACATCTTTGCAAAAACTCCTAATACTTCTCTCATTATTTTTCACGTAAAGAATGCAGAAAAATAATTACTAAATGAGGGTCAATTGTGCCCTGTTTTCACAGCTAAACAAAATGGCATCTTATCAACTTCTGTTTTGACAAACCATGAGCATACCTGATAATAGCAATGCGGATGCCATGGATGCTAGGCGGCTATTAAATTTGCCTCTTCCAGCATGAGCGTACAAAATTATTGCGGCCATGAAAAAATTCGAAAATGGACACCAGTTGTATATGTATTATTTACGTACACTTAAGTGAGATTCAAATATCAATACTAGACAGGAGTTTTTTTAAACTAATATTACCAGTCACAATCCAAAGCGGAAGTTGATGAGACGTCATTTGGTCTCTACATGCTTCACACAGAACAGCATCAGCTTTGAAATTTTGTTTACAAAAAAAACCATCAGAATTATGTCCACAAGAACAGAACTAGTCCATCAGTTAATTCCATCCTTTTATGAGTCCCTAGAAATGGAAAAACTTCTTTTAGATTTGAAAAATTAAACAGTCACTGGGACTTTAATCTGTCATATACTACTACATTAAAACGGCTATAAGGCTATAAAGGGTGTATCAAAATTGTATCTCATCGGGACTGCCTTATTTTTTATTCAGTACACCCTCGGGACTACCCCAGCGCCCTCTCCCCCCCCCCCCCAGATTTGATCTAGGCAGCTACTGTCCCAGCACCGCCCTCCCCCAGGTGGTGTTGAGCAAGAAAGCCTGACAGAAAATATGGGCGGACAGGGACTCATAAGTTCTAGAATACAATCTGACTGTCTGAGGAGGAATCCCAAACTGAAACCTCGGCCATCAAAGTCAAGATGTCAGCCTACATGGTAGGACTTACAATTATGCATCTACACACTAGTGGTATGACACCCATACAAACAACTTTACTACACTATGTTGTCATTCCTATCAAATATTATTAGGTAGGTATAGCGCCTGGCCTGCTTCGAAGGGGCCCACTTTTTAGAGGCTAGAGCCGGGCTGTTCAAATGAGTTAACTCAGGAGCCGGCGTTTCTACAAATGGGGATCGCAAGGGTTAGAAGCCTAACCCTCAGCATAGAATTGATACAACTGGTGATTATCCTAAGGTGACTTGCTAGACCTCTGCGGGCCAAATAGGCTACAGAGAAACCAAAACTGTCCCAAAGTAGTCGTTCAGTGAAGAGTGGAGAAGACATAATTGAGACTTCAGACCGGAGAGTGACAGCTGTACCCGTGACTGCAGGATTTAATATTTTGCATGATACTTAATGCAGAAGAACAGGAATTGCAGAGACACCCACCTGGATTAAATAAATTCATAAACTGTGCAATATTATATGCACTTAATTGTCACTCGAAGCTGGAAACTATAAGAGTGGAAATATTACAGTGTTAGCAGTTTGCTGTCCTAAACATTAATAATAAACTGTTTTTTGAGTATATGACTGACTTACAAATTGTTACTATCGCGCGCATACACACACATACACACACACTCTCTCTCTCTCTTCCCCCTCTCTCTTCCCTCTCTCATCTCTCTTCCCTCTCTCATCTCTCTCTCTCTCTCTCTCTCTCTCTCTCTCTCTCTCTCTCTCTCTCTCTCTCTCTCTCTCTCTCTCTCTCTTGTTTACAAGAAAATTCAAGTACGGTACTATCACATATCTGTCCACTACAGAACTCTAAACATAACTAGCTAACCTTTCCCACCAGACTATGATGCCGTGAATTTATGGCTTAGTACAAGCAACATGAGATTTCTGCGTGGTCTAGCTGACACATGTATTGTTATCTTGTTATCTTAGGTCCATCATGATAGTAAACAGTTGTTGAATCATGTGCAGCATGTTTCAGTTATTAATTTTTGTGAAACATAAAACAGTTAATTGTCTGTTGTACATTTGTACACACAGACTGTTAGTCTATGACTGTAGCATACTGGAAATCAATAGTGTATATAACAATGAAAATTTTTTCTTTCACTGAAATACATAATTGTGTTCATCATCATCACCACATGCCCTGCCAACTGGCATAGGCATTCATGCATCTCCACAAATCTCAGTCCTCTGGATCAGTTCCACTGATGATATCCCTCCATGCCACCATCACAGTCCATCTGTCATTATCTCTCTCGGTCTGCTTCTGTCGTTGATTTTCCCGGTCATGACAGTATTCTCCAAAGCCTCCCACCTCGTCACATGACCAAAGAACAGTCTTGTCTTTTCCTTATAGTAGTGTATATTTATATTTTTTTAATTAGCTCCTTTCAAGCAATCCTCGTTAGTTACTCTGACAGCCCAAAGGATTCGTATCAATCTTCTGAGGAACCACATCTCATTCAACTCCATGTTCTTTCTAATTCATGCATTCACATTCCGTGATTCACTACCACCTCCTAATGGTAGAGCACCTCCTCATGGTAGAGCACCTCCTCATGGTAGAGCACCTCCTCATGGTAGATAACAGTAAACATGCAGTGATATGGCTAAGGCAGGTGGGGGGGGGGGGGGCGACTGTCCGCTAGAATAAGTGGGCAATCTGCACCTAAGCAGAAAAGGACACTCACTTGTCCTAACAGCCGGAAATTGCTGTCTAAGGGAGCGGTTTAGATACCCCCTGCGAATGTGGAAGGTAAAGGGAAACCACCACATTAAATTCCCAAGAACTTTGTGCACAAACAAATAATTATGTTGGTATTATGAAATAAATAAAAGTTAGTTGTGGATCCTTTACATGACTTTGCAGAACCATCAGGATTTTTTGGCTGTTGTGGTTTTTCTTGGCAGATTTACGTCTAGAAGTTTGCCATTGCTTTCTGGGCGGTCGGCTTCTCGATACCACTGTTGAACGAGTGCAAGGCCTGCAGCTAGGATTGAACCTGGCACCCTGGTATGAAACTCATTTGCAGCGCCTAAGCCACAGACGCTGACATGAAATATATAATTATGTTACTAATGTCACCAGCTGTTTTTTCTTTGTAATAATAATTACAAATAAAATTAGGTATGTCTTAAAACTCCTCAAAACATGATACTGTCTTATGAACCTGCAGAAGGACAGCCAGCATGTATTCGCTTTTAGTTTATATAACAACATATTTATCTGTTGAATTTAATACAGTATAAATGTAAAAAATAAATAACAGTATACCAACAAGCAGTAAGTTGTTTGGAATTTTTCAGGCAGCTGCTTGATCATTTACCTCATAATGTGCTGCAGAGTTCATGGAACAAAACTGATATTTTCTCATTTGTTTTGTCTTTCAGAGATGTACTTATTGTCATTCACCCACAAACAGATGGCACTTGTACACATCCTACAATCATGAAGGACATGTGTGCTGACTGTGGAGCTGATCTTAGGCGGTGAGATTTGCTTTTAACATAAATTTATCTTCTCATTACGTGGTGTCTTTATGAATTTTTTTTACTATGTTCTTCTTTTTCTTCTCTTCCACCTTGTACTTCATCAAAGTGTCGGGGGGGGGGGGGGGGGGGGGGGGGGGGGGGGGGGGGGGGGTAGTAGCATTGGTTGATGAGCTTTGTCAAGAGCACTATTAAGACTGATGTTTATTTCTGTATGGCTGTTCTAAATGAAATCACTCCATATTTTCCAAGGTCTTCCACTCGCTTTATATCCATTGTAACATTTTAGTGTGGCTCGCTGTGGCACATAGTACCAAGGCATTCTGGTTGAGTGTCCAAACACTTCATTTGTTGTTCTTTGATAAACTGTAAGACCTGCTTTATTCCTAGCTTTCGTCTGATTTTGTGATTTCTTTCCTTGAAACTTCTGCATCTCTTCTAAAGCATTTTATATCTGTTGTCACAATTTTACATTCATTGGAGTCCACGTTCGGGACTAATAGCATAGTGTTGGCCAAAAAATTGTTCTAAGATTCACTTTAGTACTCCAGAGTATCTGCTTGTGTGTCAACAGGGGAGATAGTTGCCCCATTTACTTGATTAGCTTTGGCACATCTCAAACTAATTTCTCTGTCCAATTTTCCGCCGGATGTGAAAATTTGCTTCCAAATACTTAACTTCCTCTGTTTGTCTTAAGTTGTTGTTATTTAATTTTATTTCTAAATTGTCTTTCTGTCTTCCTATCACCATTGTCTCAGTCTTTGTAGTGTTTATTTTCATATTATATTCCTCTCCTTTGTTACTAATTTGATAAAGTGATTCTGCAGGCATTCCGTACTTTTTGCTATGAGTACACCTGGTTGTCGACGAATAGTAATACTGTAACATCTTCGTGATTACAGTTCGTTTCCTCACAAATATGACGAATAGAACCGCGTTGAGGCTTGTCGTGGAACAGGTTTCTTTTATACTCACTAAGGTGGTGAAACTGAGACAACTGTCTTTGGTGCAAAGAGCAGACAGTGTCCCTGGATACTCAGACTGGAATTAGCTCGTTAAAGGAAGTGAGCTGCCTGAATATCCCCAGAAAAGGGATAAGGGAATTTATATGCCTAAACACCTAGACAGAGCAGATTACCCCTCCTGACAATTTTCTTTTCTGGTAATTAAATTAAGCCCCCATCTAGAATAGGTATATTGGTAGAGAACACTAACCTGACACTATGCACACATCTAGAAATAAAATGAAACTTTAACTATGAATGTAAATCAACCATAGAAACGTTTATTGAAAATTAAAACCAATCATCTATTCTCTTTTGAAATACAATATTCAAACTAAGTAGATTTCATGAAAGATAAAAATGATAGTCACATAAAACTGTCGTCATGAGAGGATCATTGGGAAATAACACACAACAATTACCACCTAGAGTTTCCCAGAGGATCATCCATTTCAGAGAATGAGGTGGAACGTTGGATCTGTTTCAAGCACTAAGGCCTTCCTCAGGGCACTTCAAACATCAGCTACGACCAGCCTGGCAGTAGTTTGGAAGCTTGTCCTGTCAAAAGAAACAAGGAATCTCTCCTTGGCTTTTCAGCAGCTAGGGATGGAAACAATCAAAATATACAGTCCCTAATGTTCTGCAGAATAAAATATATTCCCAACTCTTCCCTCTCTCTTCATATTGTCAGAAGTGGGATAATGGCCTAGTAGCCTTGTAATATACATAGCTTCCACTTCTGACTACTGTCCAGTCCAGATGAATGTTTTCCATCTTCTGTCCTTCAGGATGATAGTGTAATACTGATCATTTCCTCAGACTCGGACAGCAATATGCAGTGATAAATGCAACACAAAATTAGACAGAATGCTATAGAATTATCATTATAAATATTGAGGATTCTAGATAAAAGGGCCTGCCTTTCCAGCCTTCCATATATTCCACTGTGTGGTTACTTTCTGGTAGTATCCTGCTTTTGTGATGCTAAGAAAAACAGTTTCCCAGTGAGTAGTTTTCTCGGACAGCATGTCCTCAAAATCACAGCATTTAATACGGCTGTGTATAAGTAAAATAATACATGAATAACCTGAAAATGAAATTCATCACTTCTACAACAAGCAAACATCATGAATTATAGAAGTATCAGTATGAGAAACGTCTCTCATGAAATGTTACAACTAACTACACAAACCATGATAACCAGCCATAGATCATTCATCTACCAGCAATAGAAGATAGAGAATTTCCTAAGAGTCTTAGATACAGTAAATAGAAGTAACATCCTAGATACAGAATAATAGGAATCAGGAATAGATCGTAAAGATCTGGTTTCTGACCCATGTGCAGAAATGGATCAGCGTGGCTTTTCCTCTGTCTGGTACAATTACGTGAAATGCGGCCAAAAAACATAAATCATTATTTAATAAACAATTACTGTGCTCACGTGGATTTAGATGTAGCTATATGGTCATGCTGCTAGGGTTTTTAGGCGGCGGGAAAGACAGAATCAAAGTTGTCTTCCAAAACGGCACCCTCTAAATCCTGCAAGCGGCCTGAAGTCAATGCCTGGCAATCCGGTCTCACCGCGGGGTTTCCATTGGTGGCCTGGGTTTTTCAGCTACATTGCCAAACTTGCTAGCAGCATATTCTGTACGTGAAAGCTTAGGGGAATTGCAAATAAGACAATGGAAAATCCCCAAACAGCAACTGTAGACTAATCGGGATATCCTTCAATGTCGTCTATGAGGAAAATGACGTCACTTGGCGTACATAAGAGGAAAAAATAGAAGGGTCACAAATGGGTGGCACGTCAGCCAAAAGTATCTTGTCTACTTGAAGCAGCGTCCTGCGACAAGGCTCCACCTAACATTTCACACACATATCTACGACATGACTAAACCGTTCCTATTGCAGGAAGACAACTATAAGACCACTATGGTCACACGGGGAATATTTTCACATTTCGGAACTATACAAAATCAAAAACTGTTTTCAGTAATATTTTGGCAAAGTAAAATGCTCAAAATTTTAAAGCTTTAAATGGTGCTCTAAAGGACATTGTGTAGACAAGCTCACTCTCACTTTGTCTAAAGTTTTAGAGTTTTCAGCTTCCCAAATAACTTGAGTAATTAATGAAGGCCATTCTTACTTGGCCTTAAACTTAGCTAAAGTAAGGTTTAGTACAATTGAAATTGGACTTAATTACTATGAAATTTGAAAACAAAACTTTTTCTTTTCCTTTTTTTGTGTATAGGGAAATGGGAGTGGCTGGAGATCGAAATAAATCTGTTACTGCTTCAGTTGCAATGGTTCACAGCATTCCAGAACTTATCATCAGTCAGGAGGTAAACTTCTTCTTTCTGTTTACTGGTTGTTATGCCCCATGAAACGTCCTGATTGTTTGCCCACCCCTGGTCTTGTTCCAGGAAATGAGTATTATGTGAACATCTTTATTACAAATCAGGCTAGGTCCTTGCTCTCGGGCAGACACACTTTGACTTTGAAAGAAATATTGCTAATTTATGCAAGTCAGAATTGCAGCAGTTTAAAAAGAAAAAACAAGTGTGCAATGTTAGTACAGAAATAGTTGGTGAAGTTGCACTTCTTACTACACTTCATAATAATAAGAGGTTGCTTAGTGTTCTTGGAGTCTGTAATAGATATGGCTTTAGAGACAATGGGACAGCAACCTAGAATAGTTTGCTGAATTCAATATTTGTCTTGCTTTATGTTAGGATCTTCCATTACTAAAATGCCATGCCTTATTGTTGCTGCAGATGCTCTTCCTTATCTATAGCAGATTACTGCACATTTAAAGTTTGTTTGTACGTATTTTGAGTTTTTTCTGGGCAGGTCATTTGGTATTCTTACTTTGGTACTAATCACGAGAGTCACTCTTTCTCATTTGTATGCAAGATTTCATGCCAGCTCCCATCCATTTCCCATTCCTACAGGCTGTCCTGTGTTAGAGGGGCATCATAACATGGCCTGCTTCGCCGTGTGTACAGGGTGGGTGGGGGAGGGGGGTGGCTAAGCTTCGCGAGTATCAGATCATTGATGTTTTTGTATTATTACGCTTGTTAGGGATCTTCACTAGTGGATCTGCTTGGAATGGTCAAAAGGCGGAACAGTTGACACCGCTAGACTATAGGAATAGCAGTATCACGGGAAATCCCCTGCAAAATCACGCGGCCGACGAGATGGGGTGACTTTTGTGATTTGTACCCTGTAAATATGTTTGTTCTTAATGCTACATAAAAATAAAAGTAAATTCCCTTAGAAACCAGATTATACAAAACTCTATTATTCGTTTGTATGCATGGAGTCATCCACATTCAATATTCACAGTAAAGGTTCTGCAGTAGGTCTCTAATCATGTCTGTCTGCCGCCTTGGTTGTACAGTCTCTGAGACTCCTGTTAGTCCGTCTCTTGATGTTATCTTGATAGTCTTTTCAGAACTACTATCTTCTTTGTTTTTGTTTTCATGTAATACTGTACAGCGTCTGTATATCCACATCTTCGGGTTTTCTATTCAACTAATACAATTAATTGTTTCTTTCATGTCCTGGTTTTGCATGTAGATAAAGTTTAACAACACTTATAATGTCACAACTATAGGAGAGCCCTAGGTAGGGTAGGGTTCCTATACAGGAGATAATCTTCAGTCTATCTATGGCTCAAGAGAAGTATGGTAACTTCAATGTCTACTATGGTAGAGAGACTGAGATATTACTCCTGGGACAGAGGACAAGAAGATAAGTCTACCCCGCTCTAATGGTGTGGTGCTAAGGTAAGCTAGTTATCTTGGTGGCAACTCCTCTGCCACTGTGTTAAAGAAAGAGCTCCCAGAGAGAAAGCAAAGAATGCTCCCTTCTCGCTCACTCAACTATCACTCACGTACAACAACAAAGACGGATGAGAATAGTAGTGAATGAAGAATATTTTTTGTAACTTTAATTCTGTTGTACTATAGACAGCTGACTGGCCAAAAATTGATGGTGGTTTAGTGTTCTTTAAACCACAAGGGTTATCATCATTAGGGAACAAGAAATGTCTACTAGGTCCAGTTCCTTTCCCGCACGAGTACAGCTCACCTGTGGAGATTCCCAAAGGTTTGACTTGGTGCGGAAACTGGAACACTTGGCTTCTGTAGCTGTAATTTCTGGTGATCCTCTCTGTAGATAGTCCACTGTTGGTTTTCATTGTGGTAACCCGAACAAGTTACAGTCCACTGTTATGGTATTTAACGTTTGCGTGCGACATGTGGTCGTTTAACATGCAACACGTGGTCGGTTAAAAAGTTGGAATCAAGTTCCTTAAACTGTCTCTTTGTCTGTGCCGATTCTTTGGCGACAGGACAATGTGTACAGATGGTGTACTTATCGCTGGCTGGCGATGGTATTATGGAAAAATACCGCAGGGCTGGGGGAAGATAGAAAAAGCCCTCATAAGCGTGTGCTAAAAGGAACACGTGGTTTTCCAAATTTGCTGGTTCTCTGGGCCCTTCAGAATTTATTAACTGAATTAAATATTAAATCTAATTCAGCTTGGATGGTTATGGTTTACATAGTACACCACATTTAAATATAAGCTTCGTTACTAAACTTGTAGAGATCAAGTTGAACCCACGTGGCAATATTTATATATTTTTCACCTCTTGAACTCCAGCCAGCAAATTCAGGGATAACAATTCTTAATATAATACATTAATAGAAAATATGGGTACACATACAGAAGTTTTACAATTCGAAGAAGAGTGCCAACTTACCCCTCAGATCTGTCGAGAATCACTACAGTATTATTCCAGAATGAAATAATATGAAATTACACTCATGGTTTTGAAGACAGACAGAGATCCTCCATACAGCGTCACTACATCCGCCTTGAGAATGGAGGCAGTAAGGGCAGCTTTCCGATGGCTTGAGAGCAGCACAGTCCGACATGCTTTATTTGTAACGGACTCAGGAGCAATTTTTAGAGTGCAGAGTGGCTTGCATCACTTGATAAAGACTAAAGATAAGGAGCATATGGATTTTATGTTTATGATATTCAGGCTGATAGATTAACTGCTGCCACTCCTGTTTCATGAGTTGCTTTATGATGAAGTGGGTGTTGTGAAGGCGCTCTGGGATTAAACTGTACAGGACAGTAGATAAAGAATCCATACATTGAAAGACCAAGACAGTTGGGGGGAGGGGGGGGTGTTTAGAGATTTTTGAAGATATTCATCACTGAGGTGAAAACATAGACTTTTAATCGGGTTGCATCTGGTACAATTAGCATATGGACTCTATAGGTTACTGAAGAAGGGGCACATGTAGGAATGTTCCGTGTGCAATGATGTTATTGATTGATTTATTCATTGGTCATTAATAACCTTCATTAATGCTGATGGTCCGTCTTGATAGCGACAAGTCAAAAAGACAAGTCCCTAAGAATGCCTAGGCTGTGGATTAGGCGATTTTCCAAAGCAAGGCGCATAGTTTGATCGCCAGAGCAAGATTTTAATGCTGTGACATATAAATCATCTTTACCACTGTGGTTAAAGCTATTAAAATGGCGAGGGATTAAAGTGTCTTCTTGTCAATATCGGAGAGGTGTTCCCGGAAACGATCAGCTAACTTCCTTCCAGTTTCCCCAATGTATGCCTTGCTGCATCGTTTGCAGATAATTGCATAAATTACATTGCGGGATTCGCAAGTAAAAAGTTCCCTGATTTGGAAAGAACCATTAGGGAAACTACCAAAGAAGTCTGGACAACAAAAGGACATGTCTTGCACGTGCTGCGTGAGCATTCAGTAGTCCCAAAAGGAAGTGCTGTGTGGTTTAGATGCCAGTCGGCTTCGGACAAGTATGTCTTTAAGGTTGCGGTCTCATCTATAAACTAATCTAGGTTTCTCACTAAAGATAATCTTGGTGTCCGGATCAGAGCAGAGGACGTCCAAATGACGAAAAAAAACTTTGGAAGCAACCACATTGTTAGGGTGAAAAGTTAAAATAAATTTGGGTCCATCACTGGTGGAATTACGTTTGGTGGAGAAAGCATCTCTCCTGGTGATTGCCAAAAATTGGTTTAGAGCCCCTTGTAGAATGTGTTACCGGGTAGAAGTGGGCACGGAAGAAATCAAGAAATTAAACTGATTTATCAAAGAAGTCAGTATCATCAGAGCACAACCTGCACAATCGAAGGAGCTGTGAATACGGAATATAATTTTTACACAGTAGGGGGTGAGAAGACATAGAGGAGATAACTGTGAGAATCCGTGGGTTTGTAGTAGGCTGTGGTCTTCAGACACGGGAAATCGATGCTAACCGTGATGTCAAGACAATTTACTGAAGTGGTGGAGATCAGTGAGGTGAATTTGATGCTGGATTGAAATTGTTGATGTAAGTAATAAATTGGTCAAGCTCAACCTCAGACATTTCGGTGATACCAACACCATCATCTATGTATCTCCTATACACCTCCGGAAACTTGCCCGGGTATGATAAACTGACCTCATATTCAAGATGGCCCATAAAGAGGCACTCATAACTGGGACCCATCTTCGTGCCCATCGCGACCCCACTGATCTGGTCAAAATACTCACCAGTGAACTCAAAATAGTTGAGGGTTAGTACCTGTTCGGCCTGGCGTACAAGATCCGCAGTAGGAATGATCGGGTTGACCTTCTGTCCAAAAAGAACTGGAGTGCCCTAAGACCATCAGAGTGAGGGATAGACATATATAGGGATCATACGTCTATCAGGAAAAGATTATAAATTTTATCGGGAAGTAGCCTGATGGATCAGAAAATGTTGAGGGCATGGTTGGTGTCTTTGACAAATGAAGGGAGAAATGTGAAAATTGGTTGGAAAATACTATCTACAAATTCAGAAAGATACACCGTGGGACAGGAGCACGCAGATACAGTGGGGCATCCAGGGTTATTGGGCTTATGGATCTAAGGCAGCAAGTACATTCACGGTTTGCCGAGTTGGCTGTCAAAAACACGCATATTGTTAGCCTGCTTGGGAAGAGTACCCTGTGAAATAAATGATTGTAACATGTCCTTGACTTTCTTATTGTTGGAGACTGGGGTCATCCCTTCTGGCGGGGAAAAAAACGGGGTTTGCGAGTTGGGTGCTGGCTTCATCAATATAAAGATCCTTCCTCCGACCCACTACAGCACCCCCTTTGTCAGCTGATTTTATAACAATATCGTCTCTCTCTCTGAGGGAGGAGAGTGCCCGCCATTCACTTTTGGAGAGGTTGGATTTAGGTAAAGGCCTTTGTTCCAACTGTTGGATAGTATGAAGCGTGTGGCTGATCAAGCTCCTTAGATTTACCAGCATGAGGAGTCCACTGTGAACGGGATTTGTTGGCCGTTGAAAGAAATGTAGTTTCGTCAACAGGCACAATGGGAGCCGGTGGTTGACCCCAGTGATCTTCTTCTTCGTTCACGGGCTGTGAATTCCGGCGGTAGGTCCAGGTTAATCGTCCGCTTGAACTTTAGGCATTTGCCTGGACCTGAGTTTTGCGCGCACAACTGTTTTACTGGCTTTTGCCGTTCCCTGCCTCGCGGGCAGATGTACTCCGACTTCGAGGGAAGACGTCAGGCCTATTTCTAGGATGACTGTGGCCAATGTTTTGTGTGGGTCGAGATGTTACCTTATTTGTGTGGTGACCTCTTTGTCCCTTTCTCCAAAGGTGTTGCTCCCGGAGTACCCCCTTTGGGGCAGCCCTGTTTGGAACGGTTAGCCCATAAGGGAAGGCAGGAGCAGATGATGGGCATTTCCCGCCAAAGAGGCTTCCATAGATGCAGAGCCGACACATGATGCTCTGGTTCTGGGCTCACCCAAGGAATCATCACGTCCTGCACATAACTGCTTAACCTCACAACCGCATTAGGCTTCCCGCTTGGCATGGGCTGCGCTCTCCAGAGATCAGCGGGGAGCAGCCTGTGGCTTTTGGACTTTTTGTGGACTGTACTGTGTACGGACATTTGGACTTTTTTTCTAATCGGTACAAATTATGACGGTCGGACTTTGGGCTTGCTTGTATGCCGTAGGATCTAACTTTGTCGGACATTGTTACCTAGCCAGCAGATGAGAAGTTGCTGTCGTTGTCTACCTTCAGAGCGGTGACGACGACGCTGAGGATGGACAGAGGGTGTACGTTGGTAGGATCTGACTGCGAGAAACCACCCACAAGAGATGTTACTCGTCTTGGCTGCAGACCTTACTCATGTACTGAATACGTTTTGATAGACTTTTCACCCATGCGTTTGGGGGCAGGCTGATGAGGGCCATAAAGGACACTGCACCTCTAGGAGCTGCCATCTCCGAGATCCCCTGCCAACTCTGTTAATGCTCATTTGAGACATTATCCGTGGCGCACGACGGGGATGTGCAGCAGGAGTCTTGCATGAGGTTCCTTAAAATCAGAACAGTGATGTACTGGCGCCCTAGTGAGGTACAGAGTATCTCCTTATACACATCATGTCAGACTTAACTTTCCCTCACACCTGTGACCGAAATCACCGCGCCACTGACCCCAGTGATGATGTTTCAGGCGTAGACGGCAATGGAACACCTCTCCGATATTGACAAGAAGACACTTAAACCAATCCCTCACCATTTTAATAGCTCTGACCACAGAGGTAAAGATGATATATCTGTCACAGCATTAAAATCTTGCTCTGGCGTTCATTTTACGCACCTCGCTTTGCAAAATCGCTTCATCCACAGCCTAGGCGTTCCTAGTCCAGGTGGTATCAGTATCCAGCATACCTTCATCTAAATAGTTCTACTCTTATCACATTTTAAATGTTAATTATTTTCTTTTTTATTTTCTTTTATTTCATATAATTACTTTATTCTATCTCTTATCAATGTGGCGTCCGTGGCTAAGGCGTTGCGAGTCCGACTCGTAAGCCAGCATACCGCGATTGAAACCCACTGCAGGCTGCGTGGATTTTTATCGTGGTATGGGACGTCGCAGGTCGACCCAGCCTAAAATGGGTACCAGGATGGGCTGTCCTGGGAAAGTAAAACAAGCCGGCGTAATGCTGACCACATTACCCACCGAGTGCTGATGGTCTGTAAAAATATGGGACGCTCTGCCCATATGCCCGATGCGCCGAAAGGCGGGAAAAGGGATCTTTACTTTTTTACTTTTATCTCTTATCAATACGATTTATGTATCATTAACATTTGTATTTCTTTTATTCCCAGTATTATATTATATATTAACAAAACTATTGTTTATTTTTGTGTGACTATATTTTTTAGCCATCGTTTATTTTATTTTATTTCATTTATTCCACATCACAATTTTGTAAATGTTGCTCACGCCACCCTTTAGAGATCTGTATACTGTCCTCTCCTCGTTGTTACGTTTGTGTAGTTCACTTATGTTTGAAAAAGGCTGCCCGGCCGAAACCTTATTTGTGTTGTTTTGTGCACGTTTTTCTGCTTCCTCATTTTGTTAAGCTTTTTAGTCAAATTTTCCTGGAATTCCTTGTATTAGCTTGACTGCAGTCACCCCCATATTTTCACAATTTTTAGGATTGTCACAGGAGGTAAGGACAAGAATTCTTTCATGTTACATAGAGTCGGTTTTAATATATGAATGTGAATTCTGGACAGGTAATAAACTCATTAGACAATTACTTAAGGCCTCAGAGATGTGGTTTTACAAAAGAATCTTTAGAATTTCTTAGCCACAAAGAACAACCCATATGTTCTTAAAGAGGTGAGGGCTCCTCCAGCACCATTGCCTTCGCCTTGTATATGAATCTATAATGTTTTTCTGTCATCAGTCTATACTCTGCAGGGGTTTCAAGGAAAGACAGAATACGAATCAGATGAATGCTAGGAATAAAGCAAGTCTTACAAGTCATCAAAGAACAACAAATGAAGTGGTTTGGACACCTAACAAGAATGCCCTGGCACCATCTGCCACAGCGAGCCACACTAAAATTGTCAACGGGTATAGAGCAAGTAGAAGACCTAGGAAAATATGGAGTGATGGCATTAAGAACAGCTCATAAGACGAATGTCACATCTCCCCCCGACACTGAGGTACAAGGTGGAAGAGGAGAAGAAGAAGATGAATCAGAAAGCCACCAAAATCTCCAAGACGGTCCCAAATACAACATATCAAGGCAAAACTTTTGGTCAAGAGAAACATTGGTGCAAGCCAAACTTTATGGATCGCTGAGTGAATTAGTGAAGTTCATACTAGAGACAATATTGCAGATATAGATATTCCAATCTAAAGGAATTTTAAAAAAAGAATTTTTATTTTATTATTATATCTTTTACATGTTGAACTTACCCTGTTTGTGTGCTTTTGACCCCCACCCCGATGATCATCAGTTAATTGTAAATAAATAAAAGTATGTAAAGGACCCTTTCCACGCCATTATGCAAATAGGACAGGACCTATATTTTTATAGACCAATCAGCACAAGGTGGGTGATGTGGTCACCGTCACGCTGGCTGCCTTTACTTCCCGGGACAGCACCTGGTACCCACTCAAGGCTGGGTCGACCTGGGAGCCAAGGTCATTTTTGAAAAAAAGTCGGCGTGTAATTGTAAATAGTAGCTAATTTAATGTGTGTAAATCTAATGCTTCACCTGGACTGGATCCTTATTGTCAGCATTTTATTGGTGTTTTATGGCTGCTACCAGTTGTATTTTTTCTCCTTAAAAGTATTATATTTATCATTATCATCACTACGTGAGCTAACGTACACATTTTATCCTAGACCATATTGAAAACTGAAACTGAAACATCAGGTTAAAAAAATAGAACAATTTATAAACGTGTTTACAAAATGTCACAAAATACTTCAAAATTAAATCAAAAAAGCATGAGCATCAAATATACTGTAATGCGAAACTGCGACAAATCATGAAAGAAAACCATCTGCCAGTTATCTGAATAGATGCTCCTGCACTAACCTTTAAAGCGGAAACAAAAGCCCACTTGACCAGTCACATCAAATGGTATGTTTGCACAAATAATTACATCATACTTATTTTTAGTACACTTCCAATCAGATTGTTTTTAAATGTTCAACACAATGCTACATTTTTAAATACTGATACAAGATTTATTAAATTTGTCAAAAAGGTTTGGGGGGGGGGGGGGGGGGGGGGGGGGTGGGCAAGGGTCCAAAAGTACTAAATTTGTATGAAAGTATCAATTTTGGTCGCCCTGGTGGGTGGAGCCCTTGAAGCTCGCTTTTTTTAGACATTCTGTGTAGATATTAAGAGATAAAGAGCACACATTCCTGTCCCTCTTCTGTTTTTATTGTGAACATCTTTGATTTTTTAACAGTCTATGCTTCAGTTATTTTTCTTTGCCTTTCATGTCTGGTAGCAAGCTCTGGAACTTGGGAAAGAGGATGAAAATAGACTACTTCGTTGCAAAAAACTTGTGCTGTTGGTGGATTTGGATCAAACACTTATTCACACAACTAATGATAACATACCTCCCAACTTAAAGGTAAGCATATATAAAAACAAAAGGTATCTTTTGTACTACAGTGCAGTGTTTCATGGACCAGCTGACAGCTGACACACACCCACACAAAAAAAAAATAGATTGCAGTTTATTTATTTAATGCCACTTCCAGCTAATGCAACATCTACTTAGAGGTCTGGAGGTCCCAGGTTCAAACCCTTGTGAAGGCTGGGATTTGTTTCATGTGGGCCTCTGGTAATTTCCCCATGGTCTTTGGGTAGTAAAATTAGATGCCTGTGTGTATTGTTTGCGCACGTAAAAACCCCATGGCAGTTGGAAATCAAAAAGAGTAGTTTCATAGTCTAATTTGGAGTTTAAAATCTACCCAAAGTATTTCAGGATCCTCGCCTGTGCTACAGAGTTCATGTACTGCTCAGAGATTCTTCGGACTAAGGCTTGAGTCAGAAGCAGAGCGGAGCACTTATGGGTTACTTACCATTGTGCCATGATGTTGATCTGTCATCTAAACCTAAACCTCCTAAGAGGTGAAAATTTAGAAGCATGGTCAGAGTATGTAAAAGACTTTTACAACAATTCTAGTGGGAAACAATTTGATATGTAATAATGTGAAAGACCACCAGTTTTGAAGATGAAAGTTCAGACTGCTTTTAGCCACACAAGTGAAATTGTCACTTCATTAGAAGAATGCAGAATAAACCAGGTCACCATTCAGCTGAATATAATATATGAAACTTGAGATATACTTGAGGAGATCTAAGTTAATTGCAATATCAAATAAATCAGGAACATTAGAATGTGACCATAAAACAGTTAGCATCATGAATCACATGACAAAGATTTTACTTAGAATCATCATTCAAAGGATCAGGAAGAACATACTACAAGAGCAATGTAGGTTCATAGAAGGTAAGAGCACAACAAAGTCTGTATTTCCTAAGAACAGTAATAGAATTGAGTGTTCAATAGAAGTAAATAAAGTCTTTTAATAGAGTAAGACATGTTCATTGCCATCAGCGTATTTTGCCAGCTGGCATAGGTGTTCATGCATTTCCACAGATCTCGGTCTTCGGTGTTCTGGATCAATTCCATTGATTATATTCTTCCAAAGACATGTTGACATGATGAAAATGCTTACAAATCTACAGATTGGTGGGAAAGACCTTATATTGAATAATAATGTATACTGGAAACAAGATGCTGCTATAAAAATTGATAATGAAGTAGGTATGTGCCAGCCAATTAGGAGAGGTGTGCGACAATGATTTGTAATGTCTCCAGATCTTTTTCCTTATATAATAAAAATATATGTGACATCTAAAATACCTGAAGACAATCAGCTTGGGACGATGCAACATTAACAATATAAGATATGCAGATTATATGGTGTTGATTGCAGATGATATGGTGTTGACTGCCAATAGTATCTTAGTTTAGTGGATAAAGTAATAGTTCCATGCGAGAATGCAGTCGGTACCGAGGCATCTCTCTTTAAAGTCATGTTGGCAAAATATACTAAGATTATAGAAACAAGGCTGAGACCAGATATATAACCACATTTGGCAGAGCAGATGTCATTTCGGGGAAATAAAAGCTGCACAGATCCAATCTTCTTGCTTGAACAGTTAACAGAAAAGAACATCAAATATGATAAGAACTTATCTGGCATTCGTAGATTAGATGAAGGCATTTGATAGAGAAGTATTGTGGAATGGAATGGCTCGCTATTGAATAAGCAAACACCTCATTGAAGTGTGCAAAAGGTAATATAGGGATTGTAGAAGCATATTTAGAATAAATGAGGAAAAATCTAAACCACTCACGGTAACATCTGGAGTAAGACAGAGGTGTGTCTTATCACCACTATTGTTTATCGCTGACATCAACAGTCTTTACAAAGATGCCAAACCCAGGGTCGAAAATATTAGCAAGATCGACAAAATACTCTTTGCTAATGACTAGGCCTTGATAGCACCTACAGCCATGAAATTGCAACATCTAACATCTATCAATAAAGAATGTAAAAATAATAACATGAGAATAAAGACTGAAAAGACAGAAGTAATGTCTATGGGACGAAAGAAGCAGAAACTAAAAAAAAGCGATAGAGTGCAAAGACGTTAAACAAGCTTAAGCATTTAAATATCTAGGAAGAAGCAATTAACATCAGACGCAGTAAGGCAAACCAAGTATTGGGACACCAGACTGAACAGCAAAAAGAAACTTCTTATACAGAGCATAATAATTCTTACTCTATACTATCAGTGCAAGACATGGCTAGTTACAATAAACCATACAAGAAAATGAGTAATCACAGGAAATGAGATATCTGAGAAGGGCTGCAGGAGTGACGAGAAGAAATAAAATCAGAAGTAAGGTCAAGGAGGAAAATTCGCACAGAACCAGTTTTAAAATACATATATAGAGAGCAGATCAAGTAGTTTGTTCACTTAGAGAGAATGTCTTGTTACGCCATCCCATACAAGGCATACACCAAAAGAGAGAAGGATGTAGAGCACAGGATAGGCCAAGAACAAGGTGGAAAGATAACATAAGAGAAACTCTACAAACTCACAATGTGTCTGTGGTTCAGACGGCCAACAGAGCAAGAAGCAAAACCTTATATCTCCCTCGACACCTAAAGCTGTAAAGAGAATGTGAGGAAGAAGTAATAGTTCACAGCAAGAAACTAGGCTTAAGGTTACATTGTGAGAAAAAAGAAATTACGGTCATCACCAAGAATTAAAAAAAACAAATTCTGCAACAGGAAATAGACAAGACTAGTACAGAGTGGCAGTAGTTTAAAATCATCTGAAACAAATGAAGTATAAAAGTCCTTGGGGAAAGGGAATGGAAACATAACACGTGGATAACACTTCAGACAAAATAACCCCCGAAAAAAATTGGAAAGCACATTTAAACAGTAGGAAACCTAGAGCTGTTGAAGCCAGAACTCATGAAAAACTAGTAATGGTAATATTAAGAAGAGGTTTATGCCTGAAATATACACTTAAAGTCAGTAGTATTTATTTGGAATAAGATATTCATTTGTTCTCTAGGCATATAGAAAACATAATAAAGTTGGTCTTTCATCTTGTGTTGATAAATGTTCACAGACATTTGAGTTTTACCTTATAACACTCATTTATCCTTAATAGGAAATGCTTTCAGTTGATATTACCATACATTTGTTATTGTGTAGACATGCATTAAAACATTTAATAAAGTTTCATTTATTTTTATTTAGTATCATTTTATAATAAAATGGTGAGTGGCAGAGGTTTTGCCAATTTCTTGTTTCTGGTGATTTCATCTCTGGAGATTAACAAATTTAGTTCAAATTCTCAAATGGCTGTTTATCTGTGGCTTGAAGCTGGGACATTTGGCAAGAGTATTGATCATGTTCTGTAAAACCTTTAATTTGTGGCTTGAAGCTGGGACATTTGGCAAGAGTATTGATCATGTTCTATAAAACCTTTTATCTGTGGCTTGAAGCTGGGACATTTGGCAAAAGTATTGATCATGTTCTGTAAAACCTTTAATTTGTGGCTTGAAGCTAGGACATTTGGCAAGAGAATTGATCATGTTCTATAAAACCTTTTATCTGTGGCTTGAAGCTGGTACTCACAATGAGGCACAACTCATTATTTGCAAAATTGCAACCTTACAACCCCAGCACCATCATTTTCTCCTAACCCACTTTTTGTTTCCAGTGCCATGGTTAAAGTCTCAAAATGTCTTTTTGCAAGATTTGTCCAAAAGAGCAATCCAAGTGAAATCCACACTACTGTTTGACTGTTTGGTAAAAAAAATAAATTTGTAAAGTCACAATTACCAAGACACTTGAAGTACTAATTTACTTTTTCAAATGCTGCATTTAACAGTTACTTCCCTTCTTTAATCCTTTGTTTAAAAATCTATTTATACATCAGAGCAGTGTTACAGAATATCAAGAACATTACTGATTAACAGTAGTTTGCAAAATGTTTGCTTTTGTCCACATTTAAGCAGTAATGTGCATCTGTTTGACAACAGGGTATAAAACACTTTCAATTGTGGCATGGTAAAAATCACATTTGGTACCACACCAAGATTCGACCGTTTACCCAACACTTCCTGGAGGCAGTTTCTAAAATGTATGAGTTGCACATCTGTACATTTGGGGTGCGTATGTATGCACACATTATTGCTAGGTTTCTGGATCCAGATGAGAAATACTTTTCTCACCGCATACTGTCACGTGATGAATGCTTTGATCCTTTGTCCAAGACAGCTAATCTCAAGTAAGTGTATTAATGTTATTTATTATTATGGCAAGAAAATACATACAGATTGACAACCTTCTTCTCTTCCTCTTTTATCTCTTCAGTTGTCAGGGGAGATATAAGGTTCTGCTTCTCGCTTTTCTGACCACCTCGACCATAAACAGGTCATGCTATTTTAGGGTTTCTTGGATGTTATTTTTTCATCTTGTTCTTGATCTGCCTCTTACTCTACATCCGTCTCTTGTAGTTTATGTTTTATATGGTCTGAAGAGCAGATACAGTGCCCTCTGTTGTGCTAGACATTTCTTTAAAAACAGACAGCATAAAAAAGGAGCAAGAGAAATTCTTTAGCGACCTGTTCCAGTTTGCCCAAGGGCTGTCTGAAAAGAGTACCCAAGTCACATCTGCTGAATATGTATTCTGATTAGACAGGGAATGAACCTCTCGATGACAAGACAGAGATCACCAGATGCCTAAAGCGGCCTGAGTTGCCGTAGGCAAGTTTAAAATGATCCCTCCCTCTTGGTCAGAGGTCAAAGAAGTTGTGAAAAAAGCCAGCGGCAAATCTGCCCCTACGATGTATAAACGTTGTCTTAAAGTCCTCTAAATGCTTCACTGCCTGCTGCGGTTAGCCAAAAGTACAAATGTACCGAGTGGCAATGAGCCGACAGTCTGTATTCCCAAGAGCGAGACTCCTCTAATCTATCCCAGTTCACAACTATCTTGTTGTTGAACGTTGAGGGCAAGATATTCTCTTCTCGGTTATGGCACGCAGACTCACACAGTGTTTAATGGAAAACAAATACATTGACACAATGGTTCAGAAAAGTGGCATCCCAGGTGTCTTGAGCATGTGACTGTGATCTAGGAGAGTATCCAGGGAACTAAGACAGAGAAACAGATTTGCATGTGATATGGTTGGACTCCATAAGCTATTATAGCATGCCCTTCGCATGTTCCACGTGCCGACAGAGATCATCTAAATGATCGAGCAGTATTTCTCAAAGTTCACCATACTCCTTCTGTTCTTTCCCCACATTTACTCCGAGGTGGATTGAACTACAGGCTGGGATAGCAATGTTATGTACGATGTCGCCAGTTCTGTTCGTAATGGCTATGCAGGTCATGTTAGACGGGGCTGCTGACTATGAGCAAGGCCTTCAAATTTAGCGCCACTGTATGCCGCCTCTGTGTGCATTTATGGATGACACAACTATCATAACAGGCAGTGAGGATCATGCCCGCGTTATTCTGCAAAGGCTGGATCACGTGGTCAAATGGTGTGGCTTGCAGTTCAAGCCGCAAAAAAATCAAGAAGTTTGTCAATCCTCAAAGCTAAGGTGGTGGCAGCCAGTTTCACGGTGGCAAGAAAAAGGATCCCCACAGTTCTGGAGGAGCCAGTGAAGAGCCTAGGTTACCTCTACGGTTTGAAGTTAAATGATAGAGTGGAAGTCCGGCGCATACACGAGTCACTGGCTACAGGCCTGCTTGGTATCGAGCAATGCAGGCTGATCGGGAAGTTCAAGGGTTGGTGTCTCCAGTTCATATTGATTCCAAAGCTCCTCTGGCCACTGCTTGGAAAGTTGGTTGGTGGTCCAAAGCCTGACTAAAGAACTCAGAGACATTTTAATACAGCAGACAAGGGACACCGAAAACAAGACTCTGGTCCAAAAAGCCACGCAGCAGTTGTAGCAAGGCCAGTGGATTGGCCTCGAGAGAGCCTTGCCATGAATACTCACATGAGGTGAGATCTGGCAAATGGCCTTGCTGCGACTGAGCTTTGTGGTAAGATCTATATATAATGTGTTACCCTCTGGCACCAACATGGTCAGGTGTCATGCGGCTACCAATCTGACATGCCCACTATGCATAGCTAAGCAGACGCTCAAGCAAATTTTGTCCTCTTGCAGAAATGCCCTAGTCCAGGGACGATATACATGACGCCACAATAGAGTTCAGAAAGAGTTAGCGGACATTGTGGACCAAGCCAGAATGAGGACCAACGCTAGGGCCAGTCCTACCTCTTCCACATACAATGTACTAAAGCACCTAGGCTTGCGATGAAAGCGCGGTACTAAAACAGCTGGACAAAGCTGCTGAAAGAGCTTAGAGCTTACTTTGGTCACAACGGAACATCTTGGGGGGATGGATCTTGGTAGACTTGTCCAAGCCCCTAGTGGAAAATAATTGTTCATCCCTATAAAGCCAGTCTGATAAATGTTTGCCAGTGTCTCTCTGCCAAATGCCTAAGTCCTAGAACACCTGTCCGATAAACCAACTTAAACTTGTCACTCCGGTCGTAAGCAACAAACATAACATCAAATCTAACAATACCTGTTGCAAAATCACCATATCATCTTTTCCCTGTCCGAGAGTCCGATAAAGTGCAACAGGGCCGATCAAGGCCTGGAGCCATGACCTAGATCGGCCCACCTTCCAAAATTGCTAGGAAGTAATGGGCTGAAACAATCATCAACAAGGGATCTTTCTACTGATGATCGATGGACCCCTGCTGTGCATGCTCCCCTGTGGAGTTCTTCCTATTTTTACTCTATTCCATTCTATCCTGTGCAGGCAGTTCAATATCTTGGACGCAATCCAGTCCAACATCCCTGGTCTCTCTTGTCACCCTTCATTTTAGCCTTTTTTTTTTTTTAACGGCCCTCGTCCCCTCAGTCCCTTTATTTCCATTTCAGTGCCCATTTGGTGATTCTCTGCTGGCTTCTTCTCTGGATGGGACCAGTATAGTCCCTTCTTCTCTGTCGTATAATAACCGTTGTTTCCAGCCCCTTATTACTTCAACCCCTTTTGAATTTGTCCCATTTTATTTTCATCAGGCATTTGTTTTTGAATGCATTTAACTTTTGTTCTGTGTTTGAAGTGGTTCTCCAACTTTCACTGACATACGTTAAAACTGAAATGACATTAAAATTGAAAATATGTTACTAGGTTTTAAAACTACAATTTAGAGTTCCATATTTTGTACATGCTGTTGAAAGCTCCTGATGCTTTTTCAATGTGTATCATAAAATTCTTTCTTTGTATTTCCATCACTATCAGAATTGCTACCTAAATAAGTAAATTGATCTGTTACTTTTTAAATACTGTTCTCTAGTGTTACATCAACTTGATTTGTTGTTGGTGTCTTCATAACTTATTCATAGTCCAACCTTTGCTACTATATTTGCTGAAAGCACATGCATTGACTGTGCATGTTCCACTGAACATGGAGCATTAGCAAGATCAGGTTTATTTTGGTCCTACTATCTGATTATGCGTGTGGTAAACGCGTGTACATATTTAAGTATTAGACAGTATATAAATTATATTTATACAGCTCTATCATTGTTTTCTATAACAATAACAAAAGAGTTTTTTAATGGGACCAAATTAATCATATTCTCTTTATTTCTATGTTGTTAACATACGATTAGTATCAGCGTAAATTTATGTATTTCTGTAAGTGATTTCATAATTTGGTCATGATATACAGTATCAATAGTCACTGCCCTAAATTTAAGATGTTTCCTTCGTGCTAAAGAACTGCATGGCAACAACTGTTCCTTTCTTTCCCTGATTAAGGATTTTTTCCGTCTGCCCATTTTTTATTAAGCAGATCTGTCACTTGCTTTATGGTTGCATCTTCTACTGCCTTGAGCATCTCTGAAGTAATATCACCTGTTTTCTAATGAATTTATAGCCTCCCTGATTTCAGGATCATTTATCTGCCCTACATTTATTCATAATAATATCAAGTTATAATGAAGAGCATTATTAGAGGTTACCTTCAGATCTCTGACCTGTCAGTGTCCCATAGAATGAATGCTAAACCTACTGGAAAACTACCATTCAGTTTAAATAAAAGTGTATTCAGTAGTGCCTGATTTGATGCATGTCCCTGACTGTTGTCATCCCCCATAGCATTTCCTCACTCTTTCAATGGGCATTCCTTATCAGCTGCATAAGACGGTTGTCTTATGTCATGCATGTTCTTACTTGTGCATGTTCTATATCTTGCACCACCTGACTTACCCACCACTAATGTTATCCACCTTAAGAAACTATCTTGTCTGTACACACTAGGACAGTTAGGGGGAAGAGAAATGAAAACGCTTGACAGACTTGCTGTGTCTGCAATGGTTATCGGAGGAAATGTATGGACAGGGCGGTCACATTGAATCTGCTGCATTCCAGAGACTTTGAAACAAAGGAATCAGAGACAATAAAGTATCTCTTGGAATTAGGTATTGAATGAGGACAAGCATGGTATTTATCTTAGAATTGTTATCATTTATCAGATTTGTAGTGAATTAGTGTGTATCACAGTGTACCACTCACCTATAAATTCTGCAGAAGTATTTGAAAAAGTCAACAACAGTATTTGTCAATAAGATTCTGAAGACTACACAAACATAACATAAAAATAAATGAAACCAGACAAGAGGGGGTCCAAAGAAGAATAGTAAACCAGTACAGAACTGGTGTCATAATCCACTAAACGTTGAGGGAGATACTGAAGAGGGGATCTTAGCACTTGTGGACTAAATGGTTCGATATGCACTGATGATAATCTGTTGACTAACTAAGATTCTAAAGTCTCAGTTTGTAGGCATGCTGTCTGTATGTACAGTTCCCCATGTGGATTCCAGGGCCCCTATTGTGGGGAAAACAAGAATAGACCCACTGCCTCCCTAACAAGCATGTCATAGGACTTCACTAACTGGGGACTTTCTTCGAAGTTGGAGTACATCTGCCCTAGCGGCTAGGAACAAATGGATTAACAGCCAGGACTTTCTGCTGGAGCTTAGAGCTAGTGAACAAAGAAGAAGAGTATGTGCAGGGCCCTCAGGTAGAAATGTTCATTAGTGTTCACTTTTATGATTGTAGAAAAAATGTAGCTGCAGTTTGAGTCACTGCTTAAATTACCTTTCCATTAATTTACTTTTTTCAGAGCTCTATTCCCTTGTGGCGATAAAATGGTTGGAATCATTGATGACAGAGAGGATGTTTGGAACCATGCACCAAACCTAATCCATGTCAAGCCATACAGATTTTTTCAAGGTACTGCTGACATTAATGCACCACCAGGACTCACAAAAGCTGAGCATGATAATGAACCAATATCACACAAGGTGATTGATCATTCACAACAGGCAAATGATGGCAAAGCTGAGCATGGTAATGAACCAATATCACACAAAGTGATTGATCATTCACAACAGGCAAATGATGGCAAAGCTGAGCATGGTAATGAACCAATATCACACAAAGTGATTGATCATTCACAACAGGCAAATGATGGCAAAGACTCTAGTTCAGAGAAACAGCATTGCCAGGATTGTACAGATTCAGATATCAAGGACAGATGTGGGCAAGTTAGTGATATAAGACAGGGTAATAGAGACCATGAAAACGTCAGTGATGTTATAGAAATTATTGAAGAGCCAAAGAACAGTGTTATTTCCCAAGGTGATAACAAAAATGATATTGTTAGTTCTGATTTTTCTGTGGTGTCAAGCAAAAAAACTATTAGTGAAATGAACAGCAGTCAGTGTTGTGAAGAAAATGAAATACAGACTAGTTTATGTGTTGGAAGTGGATATATAGATACTGGTGATTTTACAGTGTCTAGTGAAAAAAGGCTAGTGCAAAGTTTAACCTCTGCAAACTCACTGAGCATAGATAATGACATGAAGAATACTGGCAACATTAGGGTGAGTTTAGAAACATCAGTAATGCTTTCAGAAAACTGTAAACACCATGACAACTCTGAGAGTAAAGCATCTGGTAAAACTGGTTCTGCTTGTAACGACGCTGAAAGTCAAATAGAAGAAGTTATTCTAGGTAAAGAGAATGCCCAGGAGGAAATTGAGTGGACTGATGATGATGACTATTTGCTTCACTTGGAAGAAATTTTAAAAAAAATCCACAAAGCTTATTACGAATTGTACGAACAGTGTCAGAGTAATGGATCCAGTGAGCTTCCAGACTTGAAGCATATTATTCCTTATGTGAGGAAGAAAACTCTTAAAGGTGCCAACATTGTCTTCACAGGAATGTTTCCATTGAACTTGAGTTTAGAGAAGTCACAGGCTTATATTGTGGCCAGGGCGCTTGGGGCAAATGTCCAGAATGATATTGTTCCGAAGAAGACTAACAATGGAAACAGTGCAGATGCCACTACTCATTTGGTGGCAGCCAAGCCCGGCACAGGAAAACATAAAACTGCATTAAAAATGAAAGGCATTCACATTGTTAGTCCAGACTGGTTGTGGGCGTGTAATGAAAGATGGGAATGGGTTCCTGAAAGCTTATATCCACTAATCAGCAGGGATCCTTCCTCCAGAAACATGGGCAGCCCTGACGATAGCGCACCAAAGTCAGAAAAAGCAGCTATGAGAAAAAGAAAAAATCAAGAACACAAAATGGAAGCCATAGTTGATGATAAAGTTTCTGGAAATAAAAGGGATTATTTAGAGATTGCTAGACAGAACAAGAAATTTAAGTTGGACAGTGATGAATTTCGGGGAGATTCAAAAACTCAGCCTTCTTCAAGTAATGCCAATACTCTCCCAGTGGAAACATTTTCAAATAGTTTTAACCCTCTGTATTCTTTTTCTGATGAAGATATTGAGTTCATGGATAAAGAGGTTGAGGAACTATTGGGTGAAGATGATTACAGCTTGGTAGAAAGTGATGAAGAAAGAGAAATGCTGCTAAGGCAGAAAGTACTGGGTGCTGTTGGGGAATCAGACTCAGACTCTGATAGCTTGTCTGGGGATTTCCCAAGAGGTTGGAAATTACGACGAAAGTCATTTTCACCCCCAAGAAAAATTGATACAAATGATGGTGAAGTGGCAACAGAAGATGATGATGAAACAGAAAATGAACTGATGCAGTTTCAGAAAAACATGGCAGCATTTGCCCCAGATGAAACTGAATCAGATTCAGATGTGGACACAGTTTCTGTAGGATCAGTTGATGATGAGATCGCTGAAGCTGTTGAAAAAGAGTTTCTCGCTTCCTTGTAGGACAACTCTCTCTCTCTCTCTCTCTCTCACTCTCTCTCTCTCTCTCTCTCTCTCTCTCTCTCTCTCTTTTTTCTCTCTCTCCCCCTCCCTCCCTCTCTATCTCTCTCTCTCACACACACACACACACACACACACACACCCTCCCTCCCCATATCTCTCTCTCTCTCTCTCTCTCTCTCTCTCTCTCTCTCTCTCTCTCTCTCTCTCTCTCTCTCCCCGAATGATGAGCATTGCTAGAAATAAAAATGTTTTCATATTTTGTATGGTTTAATTTAAAAAGAAACAATTCCAAAATTTCAGGTCTAATTAAATTGTTTCCCTGATTCTGAAACACATAAGAACTTATACCTTTCAGAGTCAGATTAGTAAAAACGTTCTGGGAAAGGCTTTTTCCTAGTTTAAAGCAAGATGGTGTTTTTTGACAGTTATTTCTCTGTCATTACTTAGAGATCTGCTTTTGCAATGTTTCTAATGTATCTGAATGTCATTGGTGTATGTGTTGCTGCATGTGGGTAGTCTTATTACATTATCTAGCCATTTGACCTGCTTTCTATCATAAAATCAATAGACACTGATATCTACTTACTTCTTGTGTCATAATTTCTGTCTCTTCTCACATTCACTATTCTTCAGTAAATTCACATATTCTTCACATTCTACTCTTCTAATTCATATATTAAAAATACATGGAGACATTGATGAGGAATTCTACTTTATGCAGATCGCACACATCATAGTAGAGCAGCAGTTCTCAACCTATGGGTCGCGACCCCTTTGAGGGTCAAACAGCCTTTTCACAGGGGTCACCTAAGACATTGGAAACTTATTATTTTCTGAATTTATTAAGTTAGTTAGTTAGTTAGTTAGTCTTTCCTCTTGTGTCGAGTGTGGCACATAGGGCAGAGGTCATAACTCTCCATGCATGGCGGTCCGTTGCAATCAGTTGTAGGTCTTGGATGTTAGAGTGGCCCATGAGCGAGCCTTCCCTGATGATAGTTCTACGTAGGGTTTCCCTTGGTCTTCCACGAGATCTTTTCCCCTGTGGTGTCCAAATGAGGGCTTGGTAAGGAAGTCTTGATTTATCCATTCTAAGGGCGTGGCCGACATAGTTCCAGCGGCGTTTTCGTATAAAATTAGACACATACTCTTGCCTGGATTCTTGCCTTATTTGTGTATTGGTTCGGAAATCTGACCATTTGAAATTTAGTATTCTTCTAAGGCATTTATTTTCAAAACTGTCTAATTTTGTGTCTAGAGTTTTCGTTGAATTCCAGCTCTCGCATCCATAGGTTAGTACTGGAATCACACAAGAATTGAAGATCTTGAGTTTTGTGTGTTTGCTAAGTGTCTTTGATTTCCAGATGTTGGACAGTTTATTGAAGGCACTAGATGCAAGTGCTATTCTAAATGGTATTTCTGGTGCGGTATCTCCTGTAGTTGACATCTTGCTCCCTAGATAAGTGAACAAGGCTGTTGTTGTTCAGCGTGATATCAACTCAACTGTTAGTAAGGTCTAGAATTTTTGTTTTTGCTGTGTTAATTTGGAGTCCAATTTGTTCTGAGAAATTCTGGAGTCGATTAATTTTTTCTTTGGCGTCTGTGTGTTCTGAACTCAGGAGTGCTATGTCGTCGGCGAAGTCTAGGTCTTCCAGAATTTTGTCAACCCATGTAATGCCTAAATTTGCGTTATTTATGCACTTGCGCATGACCCAGTCGATTGCTATACCAAAAAGCATCGGCGATAGGACACAGCCTTGCTTCACTCCTGTTTCCACCGGGAACCAGTCAGAATTGCCGGAATCAGTTCTTACACAGCATCGTGTTTCATTATAAAAAGATTTTATGATGTTGATATATTTGAAGGGGAAACCATAGATGTTAAGCAATTTCCAGAGTGTTTGACGATGGATACCGTCGAAGGCTTTTTTGGAAGTCGACAAAGTTGATCAATAATTTCGACTGCAATTCTGTAGAATCTTCAACAATTATTCTAAGAGTAAAGATGTGGTCTATGCATGACCGCTTGGATCTAAAACCGGCTTGTTCTTCCCTTAATCTTTCATCTAGGGTTTTTTTCAATCTATCTAGTAGCATACTACAAAATAGTTTCCCTGGTATCCAAAGCAGGGTGATGCCTCTCCAGTTGTTACAGTCGGATAAATCACCTTTTTTAGGTAATTTGAAGATTACACCATCTTTCCATTGTTGTGGTGGGTATTCGTTTTGCCAGACTTCATCCATCAGCTGGAGCAAATGTTGCAGGGTGTTTTCATCCGCTGCTTTGAGCATTTCCCCTGAGATGTTGTCCTCTCCGGTAGCTTTGTTTATTCTTAATTTTTTAATAGCTGTTTTAATCTCCTCTATTGTGAATGACTCGCTAGAAGCAACTAGTGTCGGTGTAATAATTTCTTCTTCTAGATTGGGAATGATGTCAGGATTTGGTCTATTTAATATTTCCTTGAAGTGTTCTGCCCATCGCTTTGTTTGTTGGTCGTCGGATAGCAGTAGTTTACCCTGCTTGTATTTAATGGTATTTATTAAGTAGCAACAAAAATAATTGTATGGTTGGGAGTTACCACAACATGAGAAACTGTGTTAACCAGTTGCAGCATTAGGAAGGTTGAGTACGTTCTCAACCACTGTGGTAGAAGTTGTACCCTAATACCAAGCAATAGCATCTCTCTCTCTCTCTCTCTCCCCCCCCCCCCTCTCTCTCTCTCCCCCCCCCCTCTCTCTCTCTCTCTCTCTCTCTGTGTGAGAGAGAGAGAGAAAAAAACAAGGTTAGTTGCGTATCTTTTACAGGACGTTGCAGAACCAACCCTAACAGCCCCTAACTGTTGTGTGATTTTTCTAGGCAAATTTACGTCCAGTAGTTTGCCAATTCTTACTGGACGGTCGGCTTTCTCCGTACCACTGTTGACACAAACGCAAGGCGCATGGCCCGCAGCTGGGATCAAACCCGGCATTACGAAGCGTTTGCATCGATTTAGCCACAGAGCCGACTCTCTTTCTCTACTGTCTTATTTTCACTCAGTATCTCCCCTTTGCATCTGAGGCCGGCCTAGCATCCCTACATTTGATCAAGGCCGCTACCGCTGCCTAGACAGTGTCATGGCTCCATGTGGATGGTAGTGCCTTCACTGGGATACACTGCCCTATATATACTTTCCGGATTACCACATACCATTTATCATATAGTCATCTAGACCAGTGGTCTCCTAACTTGTGGCATGTCTAGCTCCTTTGAGTATATGGCAAGACCCCTCACCCCCCCCACCCTATTTTTTTTACAAAATGACTAGACCCCCCCCCCCCCCCCCCCACCCCACCATAACTATTTGTGGTTCATAAGAGGTCAACAGATTCCACAAAAAGAAAAGCAAAAATTAAGAATCTACACAATGTTTTCTTAACCTATAATTAAATGCTCATGTTATATTAATAATTAGATTTTAATATATATATATGTGTGTGTATATATGTATATATATATATCTATATATATGTGTGTATATATATATATATATATATATATATATATTGTAATGAAAGTAATAATGGTGTTAGAATTACAGAAATTATAAGTACAAATGCTCTCACTATCAGAAAATTGTGCTTGATGCCCGCCAAAGTGGATGTTACTACCCTGTGGGTTTGAGGGGCCTGGAATGGGGTGGCGTGTAGCTGCCTTAGCCAGATTTTTTTAAAGAAAAGGGGTAAGGGGGTGGGTGGGTTTAAATGGCGGTGATAGCCACAGGTGCAGTTGGGGCACTGAAAAAAATTCTTTTCTAAAAATTAATGTACATATTGTTACTCTGAATGATAAAAGTGTTATGATCCCTTCATAATTATATGCAAGTAATTACTTAGTACGAGGGGAGGTTTATGAGTAAGTCATAAATGTTTTAATTTTTTTTAAACAGATAAAGTCAATAACAACTTGAAAGTCTTATTTTTACACATACACTGTCCCTTTATTTTTCAACATAATTTCCACCAACATTGATACACTTGTTCCACCATTTTATCAGTAGTCACAAACCTGTTGCATAGGACTGTGTGCTCTGTTTTCTAAACCACATTTTCACTTCACATTCAATTGTCTGTGTACCCACTTTAAGCACACTTTCTTAAATTTCAATCGATCATGCATTATGTTGTATGCTGAACCATGTGAGCACCCTATTGCAGCTGCTAGAGAGTAAACTGTTACTCGCCTATCACATCTAATTATCTCCTTCACCCGCTGCATGGATGCGTCTGCTGCAATCTCACCAGGATGACCAGATCGGACTTCATCAACGATTTAAGAGCCTTCTTGTGAAAAAATGTTTACACAGCTATGCATCGCTTTACGCGATAAACATTTGTAGCATAAAGAGCAAGCATTTCCTTATAAATTTCCTTTGCATGCAGCCCTTTTGTCCCCACTCCTCCCTGCTCCCTCCCCCCCCCCCCCCCCCCCAAAAAAAAATAATTACACAACAGCCCATTGACCTTTGAAGGTACACTCCATTCATCATACAGTCACCATTTTGTTACTGTGTTGCAAATGTGCATGCAATACCTAGTGCCGCCTTACGAAGGAAGACACAAATTTCGATTTTGCTGTAATCTAATGACACTTTCAGAAACCACCAACTACATTTCCCTGCAATCCCATAACCGTTTATGACTTCCCCACGTATGTTTAACAGTTGAATCACATACGTACAGCTTGTGGCTTATACTTTTCACCACGCAGTGTCTATTAAATTTGGTTAGATCCTACTTTTATTATTTGTGAAATTGTAGATGAATATTTTAAACAGTTATTTAACCTCTGTTACCTAATAAACTGAATGATAATTTGTTTTCCTCTTTTTAAATGTGCTTTATTTATGTGCTGTATGTTAAAAGCCTATGTCTTGTCGCCACGACTCAATTGTAAATAGAACATTACCAAACAAGTAGATCCTATCTTGGCAACTCGACTTTAATCTGCAAATATGTTTATATAT